AGAGCTGCACTGGCCATTTGGCATCCTCAAGACATGTGTGACTATTTAAGTTTAAATTTAAATTAATTTAAATTAAAGAATATTAAAAATTTATTTATCCAGTTTCACTAGTTCCTAGTCACACATTTCAAGTGCTCAATAGCCACATTTGGTTAGTGGTGACCATACTGCACAGCACACATATACAACACTTGAACATTTCTATCATCGCAGAAAGTTCAGTTGAACAGCTCTGTCTAGATGCATAATAGGACTCATACGAGTAGAGAGCTGGGGCGAGGGTATGGGGAGGTACAGGGTGTGTGTGTGTGTGTGTGTGTGTGTGTGTGTGTGAATGAGACCAAAACTGATCTGATTATTATAAGTGAAGCCTGGTCAATCTTGTGAACAACGGATTCTTTTGCTGGAACAATGGTTTAAAAATGTTCATTTATTTCAGTTAGTGGCATCATGATTTCAAATTTCAGTTATCCTTCTTATAGGAATTTTGTTTGGTTTGGGGTCATCGTGGGAACTAAGCATGTATCGTTTTCCTGAATGTTATCCTGAGTGCTTCACTTAAAATGATCAGTTTTACAGATTTATAGGACCAAAAGAACCTTTAAGCATTTCTTCATTTGGTATCTTCTTGATGTTTCTTCCTTGTCCTGCTGTGGTTCCTGAGCTTCAGGCAAGACTATATCTCATTTGTCTCATGCAGAAAGAAAATCTACTATAGTTTATAGATTTCCCTACTTCTATCGCAGGAGAATTTAAAATCATTGCCCCAAATCTCTTCCATTATTTACCTACTCTCCCTTTCAGGAAATCCCGAATGATGATAAACTTAAATGCTAGAGGCCCTCCTTCTACTTAAACAGCCTGGCCCTGGAAAGAGAAAATAAGTGAGCCCTGAATACCTGGAAAGGTACAACCAGATTGACGGCTTCTCCAACTCTGCGGATATAGGTTTGCTTCAGGTGCCTCGGGACGCGAATCTTTGGAGCCTCTGAGTGAAGGTAAAATAGCATAATTTTGCAATCAGTATAGTAATCCCAAAATAGCCTGACGTAAGTATAATGGCATGCTGCTCACTGGCATGTCTCTGTGGTCATGTCTCTGCAATAAAATCTTAGATGTGCCACTAACATTATATATGGTAACTTTGGTTCAAAATGTTTTCTTCAAGGAGAGATGTTTTAACCATTTGACTTAGCAAAATTTATCCCTGATCTCCTTGACTTTATTGCAACTTTGCATTTTTATTGTCTGTTATAGGCAGAAAGCAACTTTATAAGAAAACACCGAATTTTCTCAGGGCCTTATGCATATTTCTCATAGTTTCTAACGACAACTATATTTGCCAGCAAACATTCCACAAAAGATCTATAGGCGCCTTGTTAGCTGGTAGGACTGTCCATTCTTTCTCACTAGGAAAAAAAAAAAGTTTCAGCACCTAGCGCTTGCTATTTAGGTGATTCAGTTGGAGTTTGATAGTCACTTTGTTCCTGTGTGACTATGGTGAAGTATGCAAGGGGAAACCCTGGCCTGTTGTGTATTAATACTCATTAAACACTGTGGAGATACCAGAATATTTTGCTGCAAACTCATCAGGAGCAGGGAGTCAAAGGCTCACAGGCTCACACAGATGAAGCAGTTCTCATTACTCAAGTGCTTTGTACGTGACAGGCACTGGGAAAAATGCATTATTTAAATGAATAATTCAAACCTCAGAACCACCTTAGGAGGTAAGTACTGTTTTTACTTTATGATAAGGAAACTGAAGCATAGGACATTAAGCGACTTGCCAGGATTGGACAAGGTGACACAGTCAGGATTAGAACCTGGAGTCAGACTCAGTGCTCCGGTGACAAGCATGGCTGGCAGAGCCCAAGATCTGGCTTCGAGTCTCAGATCAGACACTTGGTAGATCTGGTCTCACTCTCCTCTTCTATAAAAGGGAGCTGATAGAAACATATCTAATTCTAATTCATAGAATTCTTGTGAGGATTAAATCAAGTCATCCATGTAAAGCATTTAGAATAATGGCTGATAATAGTAAGTGCCCAGCAAGCTTTAGGGGATGATGATGATGATAACTGAATGTTATGGTTGGAAGGGAATCCTCTAACTTTACATACAAGGACACAGAGACCCAGTAAGGTCCCACATCAAATTAAACCATAATAATAATAAAAGCTAGCATATATTGAGGGCTTATTATATGGCAAGCACTCTGTTAAGCAAGTAACATGAATAAATTTATTCAATTTTCACAACCTCTTGATGTGGTACTATTATTATCCCTGTTTCGCAGATGAAGAAATTAAGGCTTAAAAAGATCAAGTCTCTTGTCCAACGTGGCATAGCTAATAAATGATGGAAACAGGAGTAAACCTATGCAGGGTGTCTCCAGAATCTAATAAGAGAATGTGCATGCTTTACGCTTTCTCCCATCCATCCTTTATCCATCCATCCATCTATCCACCCATCCACCCATCCACCCACCTGTTCATCCATTCCCTGATTCACTCGCAAGAGGTTTCAGGAGGTCACACCATAAGTCTATGGCAAAACATGGTCCACAAGCCAGACACCCCGGCCCTCAGTTTAATGTTCTTTCCCTTGGAGTTGTGGTTCTCAAACTTTTTGGTCTCAGTATTCCATGACAGTTTTAAAAATTATCATGGACCCACAAAGGCTTTTGTTTATGTGGGCTGTATATTATCTATTGCCACATTAGAAATTAAAATAGAAATTTTTGAAATATTCATTTAAAAATAATAAATAATGTTTTAATGAAAAATAACCATATTTTATATTAACAAAAATTTGGTGAGATGAGTTGCATTATTTTATATTTTGGCAAATCTCTTTAATGTCTGATTTAATAGAGGACAGTTGGATTATCATATTTGTTTCTGTCCTCAGTTTGTTGCAATATGTCATGCTTGGTTGAAGTATATGAGGGATATCTGGTATCACATAGATGGAGGTATATAAACTTTTCAGACAATAACCGATATTCCTTATTCATTCTACACTTAAAATGATGACTTGTAGTTTCTTAAGGGTTAATTGCAATGTGGAATCTGAAACCATTTCGATGACCTTTTTCAAACTGTTACATTAAAATCTATTGGTCTATCCTGCATTTTGAATGTACCTTTTATCTGTGCATGATTTTTTATAACATGTATTTGTCATTTGGAAAATATTGCTCCACTGAATTACGTAGATGTTCCAAATGCTAATGCATTCCATTCTACAATATTGAAAAATTATATTGTTAATAT